CAGCGGGGAAAATGCGGCCTTTTGACTGAAGAGGAAACTCGTGAATTGGTTTGGAGTTAAGTATCGTACAAAATAGTATGTTTATGCAACGCGGGGCGGATGAGGGGATGTGTGTGTGTAAGTTGGTAGGAGGAATGGGGTTGTTGGGTAGGTCGGGACGAGTCCCAAGGCCGCGGCCTTTTCGGTCTTCCTTTTGCCCTCCAGCAGGTTCGGGAGATTGCTTTCACTGCTTGGTCGTAACAGGCCCGACGGCACTGGTACTGTGTTTTGCGTGGCTTGCACATACGATTTGGTGTACTACGTGGAGGTTGAGGGGCCAGAAGCAGCATGCACCAGTGGAATGGTGGTCGTGATCACCTTTAGCCTGCGCCTTATTTTTCAATCGTAGCTGGTTCGCGTTTTTAACTCTTTTGAGGTTGAGAAGAGGTAGTTACTGGCCGCCAATAGTTTCTCGGGGACTAAGGCTTGTGTGTCGCTGTTGAGGGTGCCGGTGCGGTTTGTCTGAGTAGCGTTTCATCATTTATGTAGTCCTACATTTTTTGCTGTGTGCTGCATCATTCACTATTGCTGTCGTGGATTTTAATCCTGGTGGGTTTTGTTCATGGTTACCTATGGTCAATGTTGTGGTTGGTTTGGAGTGGATTGTTTGGTTTGGTTGCGTTTCTCATTTTCCTGGATTGTAAGTGTATATGGTATTGAGGGCGTCCCATCAGGGGGGTGTGGCACTTATGTTTTGGTGGCTTTTGTCTCACGGAGCTCTGACAGTGTGCTTGGGATTTATGTGGTCAAACACGGTGAGATGTTTTATGAGTTTTTTGTGTCTGCTGCTTGGCATTGGTTGAGGATAGGGTTGGTAGTTGCTGTTTCTGCGTGCTGTAGTCCTGTGTTGATGTTCGTAGTAAATGTTTTATGGAGAGAGTTTTTGCAGACCAGCCTCGGAGTTCAGTAATCAACTACGGTTGCATGTGTAGAGGTATATTCTGGGCAGAAAAAGAGCCTGTTAAACTGTCCATAAGGAAATTGCTTGTAAGTTCAAGGAAAGAACTTCCTGGCAGATTGTTAGGAGATGAAAAGTTTGAAGGAACATCATGGTTTCGTTTTTTTCTTTTTTTCTTTTATATTCTGTCCTCTAAATAATAGGTGGAAGTTTCACAGATCTCACATGCTAGCTTGATATCTTGCAGTGATATTTTTACTTTATTGTTTGAGTGTGCGTTTTTTGTGTTCTTAATTTTTATTTCGTGCTTCCTATTAGTTAAAAGGTTGGGTGGATTATAGCTCTGGACAGGTTATTTTTTTTTTGATACCATGTCCTTCCTGTGTTGTGGATACCGATTGTTGTTGTTTGATATATCCGGTGTCTGGGTTTTCGGAATTTCATCTTGAAATACTTATCAGTTTACTCGTGTGTATGGTTGTGGTGTGTTATATTTCTTCCATGGTATACATTCCTTGTGTGGTTATAGTAGGTAGATGTTCGCTAATTTACAAAATCAAGGCTTTTTGATTAGAAAGATAATTTTAGTCTAATGGGCTTGGAAAGACTGATTCTCTAGTGTTGACCTGTTTTTTTGTGATTTCCTTCATAATGACAAGTAACTGTTGAATTTTTTGTAATGTTTTTTGTTGGTTATGGGTTTGTAAATCTTTTTGTTACTTGGTGGACTGTTGCGTTTGGGTATGATGGTTTGTGATAGGTGAGGTTGATGTGCGTCTTTTTGAATCCCAGGGTTTGGGTGGCAGAAAATCTACACAAGACTGCAGAAAAGTAGACCCATGGCGATTGTGGTATTTCATCAACAGGACATTTGGAGTATATAGTGTCTGGGGCACGGGTGGATGAGACAGTTTATGGACCGGTTAGAAAATGGGAAGTTGTCAACAGATATTATTTAAGCTGTGTTTTTTATGGAAGGCCTGCTTTTGTTTTCCTACGTTTGTTGTTAGACGTTTCCACCGATGCTGGTACTTGACTATGAATTTTGGTCGGTCAGCTGCGGGATATCCTTCAGTGAACTGACGCTTAGTGTTTTGGGAGTTGATTTCCTGAGTGTCATGGTTTGGACTAAATGCATGCTGTTTTGGAGTGCGATGGTGAGCAGAATATGTGTGTTCCAAAAAGGGGTGTGTTCAGATTTTTGTGTGGTGTGTGGACTTTTAGGTTGTGTATAGTTGTTTATATTTTTTTGTCTTGAGTTGCTTTCCTGTTCTGAGTAACAGATTCTGAAATCTTTTGGTGTTTTTTTTTTTTTTAGACGTGAGTGATAAATATTCTTTATAATTGTGGTTTGATGGTGATTACACTGGTTTTGGGTTAGTTTTCCAAACTCATGATAATAAACACAATTGTATCTTGTTTCTGTTATTTATTTAATATTGCACTGGAAGAATACATAGTTGCCCATTATCATACTTAATGTTGTTGATGCCTGGGATTTACAAATGTAGTATTGTGGTTAACGAGACAGCATTTTTTCATTGTAGCTATTGGTTCTAGTTGACATGTAAGTTTTTTCTTGTGTGTGTGGTTGTAAAACGGCAGGTTTGTATTTGTAGTTGCTCTGGGGCGATTTTTGGTTGGGTGTGCGCATGGCCGTGTAGTTCCCGCGTACTTTCCGTGGAGGGCTTGTTTATTGTCTAGAAGGTATTCGCTCTCGATGCCCTATGAGTTTTTGATGTTTGGGTTGAGCAGGCTGGACGCCTTAGTGGGCACTCCACTCTTGCCTTGGCAACAAGCGAGACTCCTGTCTCAAAAAAAAATAAATTAATTTTATGAGTAATCCCCATGTTATGTGCCACCTTTATTGTGCTTGTATGGCTTGGATAGTGTGATGGGTTCATTCAGCGCTTTGAATAACTTTCATTTCTGTTCATTTCTGTTTTAAAAAGCTCGACAACTATAAAAGGTTTACTATGGCTTTGAGCTATCTATCCTAAAATTTGTTTTAGGAATTTGGAAATCTAGTTGATTTGTGTAAATGCGATCTGAGCTACATGGCTGGAATGAAGTGTGTTTGTAATATTTGTGGGTAGTGAGAGTGTGTTGTGTGAGTATTGCATATAATTGTGGAGGTGTGTGTAGTGTTTGTCGTATTTACTAAGTTTTGTGTTATTGAGATTGATAATGCGAATTTAGTGATTCTTGCCTTATTTTATATAAGTCTGTTTCTTACTTCCAGTCAGTGATTTTTTTTTTTTTGTTTTTTTTTTTTTTTTTTTTTTTTTGTTTTTTTTTTTTTTTTTTTTTTTTTTTTTTTTTTTTTTTTTTTTTTTTTTTTTTTTTTTTTTTTTTTTTTTCTGGGATGGGATGATCCAAGCTGAATGTTTTTTTTTCACTTTGATTTCATAAAACATATTTCTTTTATGAACCTTTATTACCTGACTGTACTGGACTAAAAGCACTAATCAGAGACCTGAAATAAGGACAGGTGAAGGTGGCTAACGCCTGTATTCTAGCACTCTGGAGGCAGAGGACAGGAGATCAGCTTGAGCTAAGGAGATGGAGACCAGCCTGAGTAAGAGGAGACCTTGTCTCTACTAAAAAAAAAGAAAAAGAAAATTAGCTGGCATGGTGGAGCACACCTATAGTCACAAGCTACTCTGGAGGCTGAGGCAGGAAGACTGCTTGAGCCCAGGAGTTTGAGGTTGCAGTGACTATGATGACGCAAATTTACATAGCCAGAGTGAAATCTCAAAAAAAAAAGGGGTCGCGGTGGTCATGCCTGTAATCCTAACACTCTGAGAGCTGAGGCGGGCAGATTGCTCGAGGTCAGGAGTTCAACAAGCCTGAGCAAGAGCGAGACCAGTATCTACTATAAATAGAAGAAATTAATTGGCAACTAATATATATGAAAATTAGCTGGGCATGTGGCGCATGCTGTAATCCAGCTACTCAGGAGCTGAGCAGTAGGGTTGCTTGGCCAGGAGATTGAGGTCCTGTGAGCGAGGCTGACGCCACGGCACTCACTCTACCTGGCCAACAAAACGAGACTGTCTCAAAAAAAGCCCTGAAATAAAATTTAGTTCTTTATCCTTTCCTATGCTTCTCAAAATCTTAGAATTGTTAAAATATTTTTAAATTACACGTTTTATAGACAGAAATTTAAAGACTACCTGGATTGTAAAACAAACTATTTATTTAATGAATATAGTGCTTATTTTTTTTTTTTTTTTTTAGAGACAGTCTCGCTCAGGCTGGTTTTGAATCTCCTGACCTTGAGCAATCGCCGCCTCGGCCCTCCAAAGTGCTAGATTACAGGCGTGAGCACCACGCCGGCTATAGTGCTTATTTTTAACTCCAAAGGTGACATCTTAAAATAAAACATTTTCAACTGGCCGTGCGTGGTGGGCTACACCTATAATCCTAGCACTCTGGAGGCCGAGGGGGCGGATTGCTCGAGGTCAGGAGTTCAAAACGCCTGGCAAGACCGTCTCTACTAAAAATAAAAGATTTATTGATCACTAAAATATATATACAAACATTAGCGGCATGGTGGCGCATGCCTGTAGTCAGCTACTCGGGAGGCTGAGGCATAGGTTGCTGTAGCTGGCTGACCCACGGCACTCACTATAGCCTGGGCAACAAAGTGAGACTGTCTCAAAAAAAAACATTTTCAACTGCAAAAGGCACTCTACCATTCTGCTTTTATATACAGCAAACTGATTTTGGCCCATTTTTTTATAATTTAAAATTAAACATGCCAGCTATGGCCCATCTTTTTAACTCTTCTCTCTTCAAGGTTTTCTGTTAACCCCTAAGTAGACTCGTGAAGGTTAAGGACTGCTATATGATAAACAGTATTTGATGGTAGCATTATATGTATTAGAAATAGCCACCTCAGAACTTTTACATTGTTATTTTATTGCCATTTTCTCTTTGGAGATGAGTGCAATAGATGAAAAATATTAAAGAGAATTGATTTTTTTCTAATAACTTTACAAAGCTTTTGTCAGCTTGATTAAGTTTCTGCCCAGAAGAAAAGAGCTGTCATCATCCTAGCTTAGCACCTGGGCTTCTTTGTGTCTATAGTTGTTGGAACATTGAAGAGACGCTTCAAGAATACAGCTGCAGGATCCCAGAAAAGAATAATTAAAAGGCTCTGGGCTGTTGACCACCAGTTGACATAG